AACCATGGTGAGTTCATTTTACATTCCTATATTTTAGTTAAATAAACATCTTATTGATTTTCCAAGGGAGGCTTCCTCTTAATTTTCTTTGTTGTTTGTTGAGTGTCTTTCGGCGACAGAAGCGTTGGTCCACAGGTCATTGCGTTCGACTTCAGATTGTAAGGTCCAACCCTAACACAATGTTACAATGTTCCTTGCGATATGGAAAAATACTAAAAAAAAACTCAAAGAAGAGTTCCATTTGACTACTAAAGTTAAAAACTTAAAGAAATTCGTATGTGAGGAAATAAAGGAGCTCTCTTCAAAATCCTGAAAAAGCCCCTTTGGAGAACGTTCCTCAACACATGATCACTCGCATGGTGTAAATCTACAGCAAGAATAATTCTAAGGTACGGTGGACTTGGAACTCAAAGAAAACAACATCAGGTTAACTTAAATCGGCACGGTTTGGCGGGTTTGGTTGCCGCACTGAAAACGCAAGTTTTTAAAATGCTGAAGCCGATTTAGATTTATGAGGAAAATGAACTTGCGAAACATAATATAAGCAGTGGAGGCAAGATATCTCGTGTTTATCCCTTCCATTATGTACTGCGTGTAGTTAAGAAGTTTTTAATCAATGTGTCACGTTTACGGATATGAACTCTAATCTTTTATTTATGTAACTCTTCCCTTTTTAGCACAAAGGCACTAAGAAACTTTCAATGACTGTCTATTAAATTTGTTAGCGCGCTTTGTTTGATTTCTATACCATGACTAGCGAATATCCGCTCGAAGCTAGCTACACAAAGCATTGTTCATTTCTATTTCCCTTATGCCAAAGTGTAAGAACTAAATTCGCCTTCTATTACCACGTAGTTCAGTTGCGAGGAGTCTTTGTAGTGAAACCATTTCGGAGCCAAACGGAGTTAAGGAGTTCTCTACCCGGAAGTCAAGATCCGATGTAAGTTACGCTTGTAATATTCCTCATTTTTATCATTTCTAGTTTCGCCATATTCGTTTATTTGTAGCCTTTCGGTTTTCCTTGTATCGAACCTTCATGTATCCGTTCCATAGCTTTTACCGCCTGTGCTGTACAAAACCTGCCAGCTTAAATGAATAAAGAGTTTGATGCTGCTACTGAGAAGAAAATTTTGGTGTTACCAACTGAGTTCATGATGTAATTGGCCTCCGTAAATTTAACCCATTCTTCTTTTTTCTCATATGTAGGTAGCTGTCGACGACTCAAGGTTCTGCAACAAAAAGATAGATATCCATTAGGGGGCCATGTCTTTAAAAGCCATTTTTTGGGCGTCGGAATGCAAATATATAGTCACTGTAGAATTCGGTGTACTATGGAGGACAGATGTAAATCGATCAATATGGCACCAGAAGGAACCGATAAACTTTTATGTCGGCTGAGTGAGTCAGACCATGCAAAACACCCACAGGATTTAGTTGAAACTAATGGCAGGATTTATGTATAGGGGGACTGAGGTAAGAAAAAGCATTTTCAAGGTTTTATTAAGTTGTTGACAGATAACTTGTGTGCCCTTGTGGAAATTTTCGCTCTTTCCCGAGTTTTTTTAGTTGATCGGATTGGGCGATTGTCAAAGCGTAAAATGAAAGAGTCTGGATAGATTAATGCTAGCAGTGGAATATACATCCATTCGACTTAGCAGTGCAATAGCTCACAAGAGATTCTTTTATACATACAGTAGTACAATCCCTCTCAGGTAATATTGCCTCTTCTTTGAGGAGAGGTTGTTCTTGACTTTATTAACTTGTAAACCAGTCCTTTTCCACATGAAATGTGAGATGCGTCAAATACTGAATACGTATTAATGGAAGGGAAAATTTCCCATTAGTTTAAATCTAGCAGCTGTCATTGAATTCGTCTCCGACGACTGCGTGTCATAGGTTTGCTGTTAAAACAAACCCCAGTCCTGTAGGAATTTATGCCAAACACTTCGACAAGGTATTCTGGATGAGCTTTTTGCTTTATTATCAATTATTAAGAAAAGTTTTGTATGTGAGTACATCTATAAATTGCACTCAAGTGCAACCCATATTTGGTATCGGGAATTATAAACTGTCAAGCGTTCTAATACATACCCACGAGTTGAGGTATCCTGAAATTTGACAAGTTGTTTGAGATCATTGCCTCTTCGAGGGTAATACTAGAAACTTAGTGAAAAGCTAGTCATGAAGATGATTGTAATAAAAAGAAAATGTCCTCTACAATATTGTTACTTACTGATTGAAAGGGTAACGAAGCATGATCTGGATGATCGTGAGTAGCCCAAAACGGGATGCAACAAAACTAAAGAAACAACAACAAACATATGAAACATATGTGTGAACTGCGGTTATGAGACGTATATGAGCACGATCCTTCGCAGTAAAGCACTATTTGAGCAATAGTGAAAATCAGACCTGAAAAAAATTTCAGGCCTGTACGGGATTCGAACCACTGACCTCTGCGATACTAGTGCAGCGCTCTACCTGTCATAGAACAAGAGACAAGTTACCAAACATT